TTCCTAATACTTTCTGTGGATTTTTTGGATTATTTTTCCAAGAAATTTGAGGAGGGTATTTATAGGCTTAGGTGAGGTAACAGGTTGAAAATAATTGAAATAATCTCTTAAGTTCTAAGTTGATTATGAATAAGGTAAATTTTAGGATTTTTTTGGAATATTCTGGTTTACATGAACCTAGAAATCCTAATTAAAAAATAATTCTAAAGGCCTCAACAAATTTGGACTCATGGGCCGTGCGAGCCTCCTTGCGTCAAACTGCCCCCCATGCGATCCAGAGGGGCTAGTGCCATGGGGCCATTCTGTCATTTTGAGAAAAACAAATTTCCCAAGCCTCTAACTTTTCAACGGCACATCTGATTCAAGGAAATCTTGGACCATTAGAAATCTCTTTAGGTATATTATGGCTTGATAGAAGTTTTGTGTGGTTTTGGAATAATTATATTGCATCTAAATTGACCATGGTTCACTAGGGTTTGTGTGGTACTTAGGATTCAAAATTAAGTTTTTAGGTAATCCCTTAGCCAGAATATCGAGAGGGGATATCTATAGGGATTGAAGATCTTGTATTTATTTGTTATATATAGAGAGTGTATATTTCATAAGAAGTTATTCATAGTAGTTTATCTTATTGTGCAAGTTAACTTGTTGTGCAAGTTATCGCTGGTTGTATTATATATACATGTTACTAATGGTTAATAGAGATAGGATTTCCTCTTCTTCTTTGTGTGTTTGAGATAAGTTTTCCTCTTGGGTCCTAATTTAACTGCTAATCTAATCTTTATAGGCCAACTTGTCGATTACAATATTCAATTTTCTTGTGATGGTTGTGTAATACAAGACCTACGCACTAGGACAGTGAAAGGGAAGGGTCGTAGAATTGGTTGTATGTTTGACTTGGAGTTTGAGAAACCAAACCCTGATGCTTCTTTCTTTTCTCCATCAGATTCTAATTTTTCTGTTTTTAATAAACAATTGCATATGTGGCATCAGAGACTTGACCATCAGGATACAAATAAATTAGATATTTTGTTTCTTTCTGGTTCATTGCCCAAATAAAATACTTATTTTAAATTATGTTAATAAATCTTGCATTAGTTGTTCTTTGAATAAAATCACCAATTTGCCTTTTCCTTCTCAAGTTGATAAAGCAACTATGGGGTCCTGCTTCAATTTTATCCAGAATAGGCTATAAGTATTTTGCTTTGTTCATTGATGATTGCACACGCTATACCTGCATATACTTTATACGTCATAAATCTAAAGTGTTATCCCATTTTAAAACTTTTTTATCCATGATCTCAACTCAATTTGGTAAAAAATTCAAAATCTTTCAGCCAGACTCCGTGAGGGGGGAAAAGGGGGGAATACTTATCACATGATTTTCAAGAATATTTGAAAACTCAGGGCATTCAATCATAGAAAACTTGTCCCTATACTCCACAACATAATGACATAGCTGAAAGGAAAAACCGTCATATCTTGGAAGTTGTTAGGACCCTTATGCATGACACTCGTATTCCTCATAGTTTTTTGGTTGAAGCTACATCAACAACTATTTAACTCATAAATCGCCTCCCCTCCTCAATTTTGCATAAAAAATCTCCATATTATTCATTATTTCATGTTCATCCTGATTATTCTCTCTTGCATGTTTTTGGATGTGTCTGTTTTGTTCATCTTCCTACACATGAAAAAATAAAATTTTCTGTTCAAACAGCCACTTGTATTTTTGTGGGTTACTATCCCGACCAAAAGGGAGTTCTATCTTATGATCCAATAGCTCGTCGTGTACGTATTTCTTGCAATGCTCTCTTCCTAGGAAAGCTTATTTTATTACTCTTCAATTGCTAAATCAACAGGGTCCTCTGCTCCTTTCTTATCAAATTTCTCAGATGCTAACACCACTGATAAATCATCACAATTTTTGATGCAATAACATCAAGGCAAACAAAACCAAACCACATCTCTTCCATCTCACCAACTAAACCAATGTCAAACCTTCACCCTACCTGTAATTGATCTCTTCCCTCCTCCTTTTCTCTTAATCATGTTTCTTTTGATGACTCTACCCAGTTATGACATTCTTCATGTGTAACTCACCTACCTGACCGATATGACTTTTCTCTTGACGATTTTGACTTTTCACTCAACCTAGAGCTTTGTTTACTTCTCTTGATACTCTTGAGATTCCTTCCAAACACGTAGAACTTTGTGTACTTCCTAGATCATTGTTTGCCCTTTTAGATTCAGTTGAGATTCCTTCTACCTACCAGCAAGCCTTCACCATACCATGTTGGAAAGAGGCCATTGATGCATAAATAAGTGCTTTTTTGGCAAATAATACTTGGGATCTTGTATTGTGCCCTCCTCACACATCTATTATTGGAAATAAATGGGTTTTTTCTGTGAAGCTTAAATCTAATAGAGTGATTAAGAAATATAAAGCATGAATAGTTGCTCAAGGTTACAAATAGGAGTATGGCATAGACGATGATGAAACATTTTCTCCTATTGCTAAATTGACATGTTCCAATATATCTTATACAGTATAGGTCATCAGCCAATTTGTTACAAATCTACACCGCATCCACATCTTGGTTGTCTATCGTATCATTCGTGATATGCAAGGGACATACCATAGAGGCCTATTCTTCTCCTTTAACTCTTATCTCCAGTTATGAGCCTATGATGATGCAGATTGGGCAAGTTACCCAGATACTCGACGCTTGACCACTAGATGGTGTATATTTTTTGAAGACTCTCTAATATCATGGAAATCTAAGAAACAACAACCTATGTCCAAATCCTATGCAGAAGCCGAATACCGAGCAATGACCTCAACTTGCAGTGAAATTACTTGGTTGAGAGGACTTTTACATGACATTCATATTCTTCATCGATCTCCTATGCCATTGTATGCTAATAATATGAGTGTCATACGTATTGCCTCCAATCCTGTATTTCATGACCGTACAAAACATATAGAAGTTGTTTGTCATTTTATTCATAAAAAAATCCCGGTGGAGAAATTATACTCCAACGTATTGCCTCACAACAACAACTTGCAAATATTTTTATCAAGGTAATGACTCGTGGTCGTCATGACTATCTCATTGACAAACTGATGTTGTTCAACCAATCTCAGTTTGAGAGGGAGTGTAAAGATTGAAGATGTTGTAGTTATTTATTATAAGTAGAAAGTTTATATTTCACAGGAAGTTACTCATTATAGATTATCTTGTTGTGCAAGTCAAATCTAATTGTATTATATATACATGTTATTAATGGTCAATAGAGATAAGCTTTCCTCTTCTTCTTTGTGTGTTTGATAGTATCTACTAGGGTTCTATCAAATTCCAATTCAAATATAATACAACCTCACAAGGAGATCTAACCTTCTAAGGACCGTCGACATCACCAGCTGTAAGCCTTATCCAAATCACGGAAACTAAGAAATAATTTCGTTAAAACTAATGTAAGAAAGAAACTAAACATGCAATAGAACCGAATAAAATAAACACTTTACCAACAATAGGCCAACTGGCCCGGCACCTAGAATCAAAGCCTTCATCAAATTAAACTGAGTGAATGAATCCGCTATTCCTTAAAAGAAATGACTTCCCAAAATTCAAAGCTTGATGTCAGATATCCTATGAATCTAAGGTTTAGGCCATGATTATAGGTAGCAGGGGAAAATTAGGGTTACTCCTATGCTAGGGTTAACGTTTCCAAGGATCTTAGGTTTATGATAAACTACGTTGAATTAGGGTTTTGGTCTAAAACCTAGTTTTTATCTTAATTGCTCTCTTAATTCCCTCGAAAATGTTAGGGAAAAGGGCTATTCAGAAATCACCCTAATATAGGACGGTCGTTGTCTGTAGCAAATCCTAGGCTGCCACATGTTAGTGACACGGTAGGCAACACTGACTTAGCTGATTCTTGTGATGCAACCTGTGTCACTGACAACATGTCTGATCTGGCTAAAGTAGATTTTCTTAAAATTCTAATTCTCAGTACATTTGCTTTATTATTTCTTTTCTAAAAAATCTTGCTTCCTTAATTCTTAGAATATTCTCTCTCCAATCTGAACTGAAACCTGCCCGTTCTAGAAATTTTGGTTTCCTAAGCTAAGGATATTTAGGATTCATGGGATATTTTGGTTTGGATTATAGATTGGGTTGGCTATAAACTAGAGTGAACTAAGGTATATTGAACTAATGTGGTCTCTATGAATCAAAATAGGCCAATCTATCTTCCTATGCTTCAAGATTTAGGATTTCATAAATAAAGTCAATCTCAAACTAGGTGCATACAAGTACCTCTCTTAGCGCACCCTATTCTTTAGGTAACATGCAGATGGAAAAGAAGTAACCACCTAAGACTGGTGGAAACTTGAAACCTGATAACCAATGGCGAAAGGATAGCATCACATCAGGTTCGTCGGCATAAGATAGTCATAACATCAGGTTCGTCGGCAAAGTGTATCTCAATGGCCACCCTAAGAATTTTCTTCATCTACGGCTTATGGGATTAGCTCTCTCTGGGATGTTTTGCCATAGTGTATTTCAGAGATGCTACATGTGTTCCACCTTGCCATTAATTCTGAGTCCCAACATTATCCAATGATAAAGTTGTAAAAATAAAAAAGCATACTCATCTATCCTTAGAAATCAATCTTACGTAGGGCTACCAACCAGGCTAGCCAATGGGCCCTCAGATTGGGCCTACCTTAGGGCTGGGTTTGGGTTTGGGCGACACTCTAAGGCAATTCTTGTGATAGGCATTTAGGCACAGACAATTCTAGAGCCGGGCTTATTAAACTATGTACAAGCCGTTATATGTGTATATACTTAATGTAAAACCAATATTAATATAAGGAAAAATATCTCCTTATCCCTTAATTTTAACTTCTCTATCTCTTTGGATCCAAGAATAAAAAATATTACTCGAAAGCAAAAGACTTCATTTTTTCTATCTTGCAACCCCTTGAATCCCTTTTTTGATGAATTTATACCCCAATAAAAATTAAAATGACATCCTATCTTGCAGGCTTGGTTGTGGGTATTTTAGAAAGAGAGGGGAAGGATCTCTCACTATCGCTTTATCTTTACAAGAAAAGCATTTCTGTCATTATTGGGAGGTGGGTTTTTCTTCTCTCTCACCAACATGGTGGGGTTGCAGATATTTCTTCTCTCTCATTAACTTGGGCGAGAGAGAGGTGCTTCTTTCTTTAATCTGATAACATTTTCCTCTGTGATGAAAAAACTTGCGTCCACAATTTCTACACCATGTTGTCTTGCAAAGGCTTCAGCTCCATCAAAAACAAGATAGGCATGGGGTGATTTGTCCATGACCAGGCTGGCAAGAGAGATTGGATTTTTAACAGTGGATATCCCCGATACAGCGCCACACTTCCTTGTAGAGCCATTCATAATGCTAGCATCCATCTCCACCGTTCCTTGTGCTGTCAGAGCCGATCCACAACCGAAATTGAACAGGGGGTTTAATTCAAGTTCCCTGACCACTAATTCTACGACATCGACGGCGGAGGAGGCGGAGCGGAGAGCAAAGATGCCGAGATGGAGAGCGGAGAGAAAGGCTTGGCAGGCCTCTTCTTGGCGCTGCCGCGGCAAGCTCGGGTTCATCCCTGCACCACCATGAACCGCAATTGCCCACCCTCCTATATTTTATATTCAATCTCTCTCTCCCTCTGATCTCTCTCTCTCTCCTCTCTCTCTCTCTCTCTCTTCTCATAAGAGAGGTGCTTCTTTCATGTTCGGATTGTGGGTAACTCTTCTCTCTCAATGTGGTGGAGCGAGAAGAGGAAGAACTTCTTTCACAAGTGGATTGTGGGTGCTTCTCTCTCCTCGAGATGTTAGAGAGGGAAGAACAAGAAGAGAGAGAAACGATTCTCTTGAGCACTTCTATGGAGTCTGGTCTGATGGGTGGTGGATCTCTCTCCTTGATGAGAGAGGAAATTTGCCAACCCCAAAAATATGCGACTCTGAAGTGTCTTGGCTTAAATCCGAGATGGGTTGGGGGGTGAGAGGTGGGTAGAGAGATAGTGACCCAAGGATGAGAGATCATTCCCTCTCTCTCTAAAAAAACCTAAACGAAGTTTTTGCAAGATTGGATTTTAATTTTTATTGAGGTCAAAAATTATCAAAAAGGGGTTTCTATAGAGATCGTTATAGAGATCGTTTGCTTCCAAGTAATATTTTGCATCATTGGATCTAAAGAGATAGAGAAAGTAAACCTAAAAGGTAAAGAGATATTTTCGATATGTTAGATATACAACATACAAATTCATATCTACATTTCGATATGTTAGATATACATAATATATAAATTTATATAAACATACCTAGACTTGAGATTGCCTAATTTAATTTTTGGCCTGAGCCATACTTCGGCCTCCATGATATGATTTCCATTGAGCACAGGACTAAGTTGTTGCCTATTTTTGTGCCCGGGATGAACGAAAAGTTATGGCAGGGCTTGGGTCAGGTCTCACCCAAGCCTAGTCCATAGGGTAGCCCGAATTTTATTTTTGATCCAAATCGTTAGTTAAAAAATATAATTTACTATGAAGGAAAAATAATAACAAATAAAAAAGAAAAGCTAATAAATAATTTACAAAAGGCTATTATATTCCAATTCATCATGATCATCATCCAAGCTTTTTATATTGTAATTATGCTCTGAATATTAGAATCAATAAAAATAAAACTTTTGTAATAGTTTATTTTCATCCTCATCATAGCCTTTTCCAATTAATTGGGGTCAGCTAACTTTAGGTTCAGAATTCATGATAAATTTTGGCTTACGTTGGCTGTCGACCTAACGCAATCCAATCCCTTTACCAGAGCACAAGACAGGTTAAAGGAAAGTTTAAGGTCATCATCCTTCTTAGAACAAATAGTTTAACTTGTCCAAAAAATTTAAATTAAAAATAAAAAAATGCTAGATAGGAAATTAAAGTGCTATAAATGAACACTAAAATAACTAGAAATAAATAAAAATATATATTCGTATTAAATAATTTTAAAATTACTTTTCATCTAAATTCTTAGAACGAGCATTGAGCACATGTTGATGTTGATGCATACCATGTTTCAAGCAAAACCGAGGAATATCTTAAGCAAAACAAATATGCCGCTCGTGCTAGAATTAAGGAAAAACCATGTTTGTCTACTCAGGTTATACGAATGAGGACAAGCACCGGCCCACTTTACATATGGATATATTTGTTGAGGTTAAAGAGGATGAGGACCAACCCCGTTAATATATTATATCAAAGTATTCTATAATGGAATATTTAAAGAGATTTTATACATTGAGACCATCTAGTTTTGGTACAAGGAGGTCGCAGTTACTTACAATCATCCAATGTGAAAGATGATAGTTTGGATGCGTCACAAAGTTTTTTTGAACTTTGAACTTGATCAATGGAATAAATGCAGACACCCAATTTTACGTTCAATGGTTAAGATTAATTGTGACCACATTGAACCAAAGGTAAATGGTCTCATTATGTACTTTTTCATTATTTAAAAAAATTAGGTATGCTGTGAACTTTGCACTAAAAAAGTTAAACACACCAATTAAAAACCCATCAAAGATGTTGGTTTTGACGATGGATAACCCTCCAATTAATCATCTCTGACATCGAGATAAAAAAATTTCAATCCAAAACATAGTTTCTTGCAACATATTATCTGAATTGTCCTTCTCCAAGATTTTCAAGTGTTCTTGGATATGACTGATCTGCATTATTTTTTGAAATTTTATAAAAATAAATTTTCAAGCCATCGTAGGAAGTTTGGGCACCAAATTTGCATCTTTCAATAACGTATAGAGCTCCCCTTTGCTTTATTGTATACAATTGACATCTTATAAAAACCACACCTACTATTATTTGATAGGGTGTGGTTTATACAAGGGGCATTAAACAATCAAAGTAAGGCATACCTTCAAATAGTATCAAAATATGTAGTTTCAGAATATAAAATCTTTATAATGGCTTGAAATTTTATTTTTTTTAATTTGAAAAGTCAAAAATAATGTAGATCGAACATATCTATGAACACTTAAATATATTGAATATTGATAGTCTGGATGACACATTTCACGATGTACTATTCCCAAGGCTTGAAATCTAGTTCTTCTCATGTACATACATCTTGAGGTCAAGATATTTGAATAGAAGATTTTTCAGCATCGAAATGACCTCTTTCAGGGAGTGTTTAAGGTGTCCTAATTTGATTGTTGAGGGCCTCGTCCTTATTTAAACTTTTTCCTATTTTATATTCCCTTTCTTGAAATACATTTTTCCTATTCAATTTGTTGAAGGTCATTCACTCTCAAAGTTTGGTGAACCCTCTTCAATGCACAATATTTTAATGAGTGGCAAAAAAACCAATTTTCTTCTTAAGTTTCTGAATGCATTTTCTATTTTGCTATTGAGTTTGTTGAAGGTTAGTCGCTTCCAAAAGTCGAAGAAACCCCTTGAATGAACAATATTTTAGTAAGCGGCAAAAAGCCAATTTTTCGTTTACCTCTTTGTTACGGTATTATGATAGGGAAATGTATACAAAGGAATCATTTATTTTTGGGAAAAGTTGATATAGAGCTGAGGCTCTAAACAATCAAATTGGAGCCTACCTCAAAATTTTCACTAGAACAGGTTGTTTTGATTCCCAAATATCCTCAAATTGATCATCTCGGCATCAAGATGCTTGAACATGATAAAAAAAAAAAAATTGGATTTCAAGTTTTGAAAATAGTGTATTTTGTAGCATATTTTTTGACTGTCAATTTTCAAGATTTTCAAGTTTTTATAGATCCGTCGATCTACACTATTTTTTAAGCTTTAAACTTTATAAATAAAGATGAAAATATATTTAAAGGCCTAGGTTCTATACAAACGGTACCGTTTATTTATTAACAAAAAGGTCACAATTACTATCATCCATCAAATTTCAGATTTCAAATCGAGTTGTTATGAGAATGTCATTGACTAGACTCAAAATTCAAAAATATTCGAACTTTGTGACACCCCAAGCTGTCCAATTTGACATCTAATATCTTGTAAAAATTGTTACCTTCTTATACCAAAGATAAATAGTCTCATTATATAAAATCTGTGACAAACTCTTTCTCTCAAAATACACATTTTTTGTTGAGTGTGTCTAAGGTCGGTGGAAAAAGTTGAGTAATTTTTAAATTAGATGCACAGTATAAATTTTTAAGTTAGATGCAACCTCATTTGATGAATTTTTAAGTTAGATGCACAGTATAAAGTTTACACCTTGTAATAAACTGTTCGTACTATTATTTTACATTTTTTCTAAAATAGGATTTTTCTATCATCAGTCGCACACAAAAGTTGAGTAAACATTCTTCAATGCACAATATTTTAGTGAGCAGCATAAAGCCAAATTTTCTTTTACCTATTTGGTACTATGTTATTATTTTATACTCATTTTCTCATAGTAAGTGTTTTTCTATTTAGCATTGAAGGTGGGTGTCACAAAAGTTGAGTCAACCCTCTTCAACGATCAATATTTAATGAGCGGCAAAAGGCTAATTTTTCTTTTTCTTCTTTGCTACTATGTTAAGGGTGCAATTTGTATAAGGTGTCAACCTTGAATAATCACACATATTTAAATCTTGCTAAAATGATTTAGGTGCCAAAAACTTTTATGACAACCTGGAAACCTATTTGTACTTATAATTATGAAATTTAAAACTCCAAAATGATGTAGATCGAGCAAATTAGATAATATGTATTATTTTTAACACTTGAAATTCTTTTTTTCATATCAATACATCTCAAGGCCGAGATAACTCTGTCATGGCCGGTCATGCCAATCTTAATCCGGAAGCTATGTTATATGCTCATGCTAGAGTGTTCGTTGTAAGCTACATGTTGTATCATAATCTAGGTGCAACGAGAAATGAGCAAGGGTTGTGATGCATATTAAGATCTGGTTGCTATAAAATTTTAATTTTACAGATATGGGTAAATTTTTAGGTTAGTATACTAAAGGTGCAATTTGTATAAGGTGTCAACTTTGAATAATCAAAGTACGTCACATATTTAAATCTTGCTAAAAAGATGTAGGTGCCAAAAACTTTTATGATGACCTGAAAACCTATTTGTACTTATATTTGTTAGAGCTAAAAAAATAGTTAAAAGTGGATAAAATTAGTTACGAAATTAAGAGATATGCTTTGAATCTTTAGGTACATTGAGATATTAAAACAAAAAATAATGGGTATGATGATATTTTCCTTTTTCTTTTACTACATTAAGGGTCCAGATTGTATGAGGTATCAAGCTTAAACATTCAAAGTAAACTGCACCTCTAAATCTTGCCCAATGATGCAGTTCCAATACCAAAAACCGTTACAATAACTTAATAATCTATTTTTATCTGTGATAATGGAATTCAAAACTTCAAAAATGATGTATATCGAGCAAATCTATAATCGCTTAAATTTTTTTAAAATGGACATTGTAGATGATATCTTTCAATGTGCATCGTTTTTAGTACTTCAAATTCGTTGTTTTTTTCATATCCATACATCTCAAAGTTGAGATAATCATTTCTATAGTTGTTTAATGGCAGAGCAACCTCATTTGATGGATTTTTAAGTTAGAAGCACAATATAAATTTTACTCCTTGTAATAAACTGTTCGTACTATTATTTTATATTTTTTCTAAAATAGGATTTTTCTATCATCAGTCGCACACAAAAGTTGAGTAAACAATCTTCGATGCACAATATTTTAGTGACCAGCATGAAGCCAGATTTTCTTTTACCTATATGGTACCATGTTATTATTTTATACTCATTTTCTGATGGTAAGTGTTTTTCTATTCAGCATTGAAGGTAGGTGTCACAAAAGTTGACCTCTTCAACGCTCAATATTTAATGAGCGGCAAAAGGCTAATTTTTCTTTTTCTTCTTTGTTACTATATTAAAGGTGCAATTTGTATAAGGTGTCAACCTTGAATATGCGACACATATTTAAATCTTGCTAAAATGATTTAGGTGCAAAAAACTTTTATGACAACCTAAAAACCTATTTGTACTTATAATTATGAATTTTAAAACTCCAGAATGATATAGATCGAGCAAATTAGATAATGTGTGTTATTTTTAGCATTTGAAATTCTTTTTTTCATATCAATACATCTCAAGGCGAGATAACTATGTCATGGCCGGTCATGCCAGTCTCAATCCGGAACCCATGTTATATGCTCATGCTAGAGTGTTTGTTGTAAGCTACATGTTGTATCATAATCTAGGTGCAACAAGAAATGAGCAAGGGTTGTGATGCATATTAAGATTTGGTTGACACAAAATTTTAATTTTATAGATATGGGTAAATTTTTAGGTTAGTAAACTAAATGTGCAATTTGTATAAGGTGTCAACTTTGAATAATCAAAGTACGTCACATATTTAAATCTTGCTAAAAAGATGTAGGTGCCAAAAACTTTTATGATGACCTGAAAACCTATTTGTACTTATATTTGTTAGAGCCAAAAAAATAGTTAAAAGTGGATAAAATTAGTCACGAAGTTAAGAGATATGCTTTGAATATTAGGTATATTGAGATATGAAAACAAAAAATAATGGGTGTGATGATATTTTCCTTTTTCTTTTACTCTTTTAAGGGTCCAGATTGTATGAGATGTCAAGCTTAAACACTCAAAGTAAACTGCACCACTAAATCTTGCCCAATGATGCAGTTCCAATACCAAAAACCGTTACAATAACTTAATAATCTATTTTTATCTATGATAATGGAATTCAAAACTTCAAAAATGATGTATATCGAGCAAATATATAATCGCTTAAATTTTTTTAAAATGGACAGTGCAGATGATATATTCCAATGTGCATTTTTTGTAGTATTTGAAATTTTTTGTTTTTTTCATATCCATACATCTCGAAGTTTGAAATAATCATTTCTCTAGTTGTTTAATGGCAGAGCAACCTCATTTGATGGATTTTTAAGTTAGATGCACAGTATAAATTTTACGCCTTGTAATAAACTGTTTGTACTATTATTTTATATTTTTTCTAAAATAGGATTTTTCTATCTTCAGTCGCACACAAAAGTTGAGTAAACATTCTTCAATGCACAATATTTTAGTGCGCAGCATAAAGCCAAATTTTCTTTTACCTATTTGGTACTATGTTATTATTTTATACTCATTTTCTCATAGTAAGTGTTTTTCTATTCAGCATTGAAGGTGGGTGTCACAAAAGTTGAGTCAACCCTCTTTAACGCTCAATATTTAATGAGCGGCAAAAGGCTAATTTTTCTTTTTCTTCTTTGTGACTATATTAAAGGTGCAATTTGTATAAGGTGTCAACCTTGAATAATCAAAATACGGCACATATTTAAATCTTGCTAAAATTATTTAGGTGCCAAAAACTTTTATGACAACCTAAAAACCTACTTGTACTTATAATTATGAAATTTAAAACTCCAAAATGATGTAGATCGAGCAAATTAGATAATGTGTATTATTTTTAGCACTTGAAATTCTTTTTTTCATATCAATACATCTCAAGGCCGAGATAACTCTGTCATGGCCGGTCATGCCAGTCTCAATCCGAAAGCTATGTTATATGCTCATGCTAGAGTGTTCGTTGTAAGCTACATGTTGTATCATAATCTAGGTGCAGTGAGAAATAAGCAAGGGTTGTGATGCATATTAAGATCTGATTGCTACAAAATTTTAATTTTAGAGATGTGGGTAAATTTTTAAGTTAGTATACTGAAGGTGCAATTTGTATAAGGTGTCAACTTTGAATAATCAAAATACGTCGCATATTTAAATATTGCTAAAAAGTTGTAGGTGCCAAATACTTTTATGATGACCTGAAAACCTATTTGTACTTATAATTATGAAATTAAAAACTCCAAAATGGTGTAGATCGAGCAAATTAAATAACGAGTGTTATAAGATGCATCATTTTTAGTACTTTAAATTGTTTTTTTCATATTAATACATCTCAAGGTCGAGATAACTCTATCATGGTCGATCATGCCAGTCCCAATCTGGAACTTACGTTATATACTCATGCTAGAGCGTTCCCTATAAGCGACATATTTTATCATAATCCAGGTGCAGTGAGAAATGAGCAAGGGTTGCGATGCAGATCAAGATCTGGTTGCTATAAAATTTTTATTCTAGAGATATGGGTAAATTTTTTGGTTAGTTTTTAAGAATTATATTTATTTGAGGGGTTCGGGTTACGCTTTGTTTTTTTGGGGAAAACTTCTTTCGTAATTTTTTTATGGTAACTTTTATTTTTTGTTTTTGTTTTTTAAGGGAAGTTATTATTTAAAGGGTCTGGTTTCTATATGGTTGCATCCCTAACTAAAGTTGGGTTGCGGCCTTTCTCATTGTCTGCTTATTTGGGCGGTGACAATTTTACACAGCTTCCCGAAAAGGAAAACCGGGGCACCTCGGTTACCTGTTGCCTTGAAGTTCTCCATAGTAATAAAATACTAATATTTTGTTGTATTTTTCTATCTACCCTTTTTCTTGTCGTTCCCAATCTTCTCTTTCTATTTCTTCTCAGTCTTCTCTTTCTAAGGGCGTGTTTGATAACAGAAAGTTGCTTACCATAATTTGGAACTTATCTGTTTGATAACAGGAAGTTGCTTACCAGAATTTGGAGCTTACCTGTTTAATAACAGGAGTTTGCTTACCAGAATTTGGTACTTACCTGTTACTGTTCATCTTTTGTGTTTAATTAAAAAATTATAAGATAAATAAGTAACTTCATTTTACTATTCATCTTCCCACCTTTATTCATAAAAACCAGTTCTGTGGAAAATGGTGGAACTTAAAAAATGAAGTTTTGCCCCTGTGAAAACCCGTGAAAAAAGCCCTCATTTTCTTGCTCGTTGCTCTCCTCTGCTCGTGCATAGGTACTCACTCATGCCTCTCTCTCTCCTATATTCTCTCTTATCCCCGATCTTCTTTATCTCTCTATTGCTCTCACACCTCTGCACTCTCTCCTTAGAGCTCTCACACCCTTGCACTCTCTCTGCACTAGGGCTCTTACACCTATGCACTCTCTCTCTCTCTAGAGCTCTCGCACTCTTGCACTCTTGTTAGGTTTGTATGGCAAACAAAGGCCTTATGAGTGATTGTAATAAAACATTTGATATAGTGGATCACAAATTCAGTGGGAGTATGATCCCTCGTGGACCATATTATGTAAACAGTGTTTGCAGATACCAGACTGTGCTCGACGGTCTAGGCCAATCAGTTGGAAAAAACCCATATTACCTTGAAATAGAATATTAATCGATAAGGGTTCTAATGGGTCACCCCTTGATGAGGTCGGAGTATGCCCGGATGAGTGAGCCGAGGGACTATGTGACCATTTTGTGTAATGGTAGCTTTCAAAGAAGGGAGCCAAAGCCTCATCCACATACCAATCACACGGCATGCATATCGCTAGACCGTTTCGAGAAAGCAATCCACCTTTCAGAGTGAAGCGTATGCATGTGCGAGAGATACCCTTATGCACCATAGGAGTTGTAGTCGCATCAGGTCTAGGTGACCTTGACTCGTCTCTAAAGGAGGACCTGAAATCCACATTCTGTGATTACGACCTATTGGCTCATTGGTCAGACTTTGGTGACCCACTAATGAGTCATTGCTTAAATTGTAGGTCATGGGAAACACTGGGTCGGTTCGATAAAACAAGTGTGGTTTGTAGACCACAGTTGAAGGTGGAGTGCCCAGTGATTGTTGATTTCATTCCTAAGCCATATAAATCCATTTCCCATCAAATTAATTTAATTATATTTGTTTTAAGATAGAAATTATTTTAGAATTTTTATTTGAATTTTTATTAACATCTAGATATTTTATTTATGATATTTAAAATTAAAGATATTAAATTTATAATTGTTTAATATTCTAAAATTATTTTTATTATTTTTAAATATAAAATAAAATGCCCATTGTGCACATGGGCCCGCCATGTTCTAGAAGGTGGGGCCCATGCATGCCTTCCTTGGGTGGCACGCGCCACCCGTTATTCTCTCTCATCTTGTTTTTATTTTGATAAGATATGTTATGAGGTCAAATGGAATTTTGAGGTTGGAAAATATTGGCTTGATAAGTTTTGAAAGATTTTGTGGAAAGATTGAGTAGACTTGTGCTAAATTTATGGTATACACAATATTTGATTAGATTTAATTTATTTAATTTCTATTGATGGGGAAATGGTTTAGGAAAGGGGTATAATGGTTCATGCAACTTCCATAATGTTGGTGGCCCATCTATGGAGTGAATGACTCAGATCTCTCCCCTCACACATCACCATTGATCGACAGTCCATGTTCAATCTCACTTAAGAGGCAAACTATGAAAAACCCTAAGAAACTCTAAATCGAATTTTGCATTATAAATAGGGGTGTCCCCCCCCCCTATTCTGTACACACAATCTCTTTTCTCTCTCTTTCTTTAAGGGGCACGCTTCACTCTCTCTCCTCCCTCTCAAGACTTTCTCTCTCCTCCCTCTAAAGCCTCTCTCTAGAGACCTCTCTCTCCTAGCTTATCTCTAGAGGGGCATGCCCCAACCCTAAGCCACCTCCTAAGTCTCTCTCTCATGTTGAATAGCCTAAGGGTTGGGTAGTATGAGATATGCCAAAATAAGTCTTGGGGTTAGGATCTGGGTCAGATAAATTCTAAAAAAGTTCCATGGAATTAGTTTGGTCTAAACTTGCCTTCTCGGATTGAGATTGAAGCTAGGTCGTTGATCCCACGCCATCGAATGGTGGTGACTCAGTGTAGGGTGTAATAAGTCCGGTTGAGGTAATCTCCGACACTTTTCTCTTCTATTTCGTGCAATCTTATCTTTTTATTCTCAAGCATAGTGCATAGTTATTTCAATGACATCAAGTTTTAAGATCTTGGTTATATTGTTGTGTTGATTTTATTTTGAAGTATATGTTATTGTAATAAGACCACTTGTAAGTGATCTTTTACCAAAACAAAAGGGGTGAATAAAAAAAAAATTTGTTATTCCCCGATAAAAGATCACATAGGTCTTTCTTTCATTGGTATCAAAGTACAGTTACTTGATTGTCATTAGGAGTCTTTTTTAATTTTTGCTTGAGAATAAAACATATGACTGCTCGTACCTTCATCTCAGAGATCCTAAAAACCAAAAAGTTTGATGGGACCAATTATACCTCTTAGAAAGAAAGATTCGATATGTTCTTTATGAGAAAAACTTGCATGAGATGCTCTATGAGGATCGTCTTCATCATCCAAGTGACGACTCATCACAAGAGCTTAAATATGAGTATGCCACTTGGAAAAGGAGGAACTTGAGATGAAAGCACATTGTTTTGTGTGCCATAACTAGCTAATATGCTTCCAAGTATGAGTCAATATGTAATACAAGTTGAATCTTTGATAAACTTGAGAGAGAGTATGTTGAACCCTCTCTTATGAAACAAATCATGGCCATGAAGAGGTATAATGTGCTAAGGATGGTAGAGGGTACTAAGTTTGCAGATCATGTGCACATCTTTTGTGCACTAGTCAGAGAGATGGAAGACATCGACATGAAACCTTCTGAACCCATGCAAGTGATTAATCACATGAATTCACTTCCAAACTCATGAGAAACTTTTATGTCCTCACTCTCGGCTAGAAGAAAAGCACAAAAACTAGAGGTGCTCATCACGACGATCAAAGTAAAAGAAGAAAGGGAGAACTCGAGGCATGCACTGGCTACAACTCCGAGGGAAGCTGTACACATGGTAAAATCTTCACCATCTTTTAAACTTAAGAAAGGAAAAGGTAGAATTAATTTTGAAAGGAGAGGAAACTTCAAAAGGAGAGATTTTAGTAACAAAGGAGGAAAGAGAGAAACCATAACTTGTTTTATCTACAAGAAGGTGGGCCACATAGCCAAGAATTATCGGTCCAACAAATTTGGAGGGACCAACAAGGAGCTGGCTTGTGTGGTCCTTGGAACATTACTGGCCAACCCCAAGGGGCTTCTTGGTGTCTTGACTCGGGAGTTACGGCTCATGTCACAAACACCAATGAAGGCTTCCATTCTTTTACTCTAATGGGGCCAGGACAACAACATATCTATATGAAAGGAAATCAAAAAACTGATGTTCTTGGAGTTGGAGATTTCGAGCTGAAGTTGAAGAGTGGGAGCATCTTGATCCTAAATTAAGTATTTTATGTCTGATATGAGGAAGTGCTTAGTTTCGATTCCCAAGATGTTTATGGTTGGATTCATGACCACTTTCATTGAGGAGAATATGGTAGTTAAGAAGAGAAAAAATGCAATCATGACCGGACGTCTTGTAGATGGCTTATTAACTATTGAAATAAAAGAAAACGTTGCTTATGTCTCATCCCCTAATGAATTAGATGCCACCCTATGGCATGTGAGGTTATGACACATTAATTTGAAAAGAATTGAGAGATTGAAAAAGGACGATATTATTCAAAATTATAAAGGAGATTTATCGAAAGTGTGTGAGTCTTGTGTGCAAAGAAAACTAATAAAAAAAATACCATCAGGGTAAAAAGAGCTACTAACGTTTTAGAAATCATTCATAGTAACATATGTGAACCTATGAATGTAACTACCAAAAACGATAATAGATATTTCATCACTTTTATAAATGACTACTTGCGATATGACCATGTTTATCTTATTCACATAAAATCTGAAACCCTAGAAAAATTCAAAGTATATAAAGTTGAGGTAGAGAATCAAACCAACTTGGGAATCAAAGTCCTTAGAACTAATAGAGGGGGGGAATATTCATCTGAACTTTTCAAAGAACCATGTATTGAGAATGGAATCATCCATCAGTATACCATGTCATATACTCCCAAACAAAACGGTGTTGTCGAGAGATAGAATAGGACATTGATTGAAAAAGTAAGGAGTATGATGGGGCATGCTAGTCTTTCCTTAGACTTTTGGGGAGAAGCCATGTTGACGACATGTTATATCTTTAATCAGACTCCCACAAAAGTTACCCCACTTATTCCTCACGAAATATTCACAGGTCGTGCTCCCTCCCTTAATCACTTGAAAGCTTGGGGTTGCTCAGCCTATGTTCTTATTTCATACCAAAATAGGACTAAACCTCAACCCAAAACTGTTAAGACCATTTTCAGTAGCTACTCAGGCCATGGTAAGGGGTATCGATTCTACAGCCTTGAAAAAGGGATGGTCATTGAGAGCCACAATGCTCACTTCTTCGAGGAAGAATTTCTTGAAGATATAATAAGACAGAAACAATCCGACTTCTTTGAGGAGGCAAGAAACAAGGTTGTGCTTTGAGAACCCGAACCTGAAACTTCCAATAGACTTGAGCTTGATATTGTTGAACCTGAACCCACAAAAGAACATGAACCCAAACCAAGACGAAGTAACTAAATAAGTAGACCTTTTTTTTACCTAGAACACTTTGTCTACCTAGGGGAACAC